AATTTAAGAAACAGAAGAAAATGAACTGGCGGAAACTTTTTATCGAAAATTATTTCATGTAAATAAATACAAAAACATAATCACCAGGTTAGGAAGGTCCAGAAGTTGCCGCGTACACCTTGTTTTTCAACAACCACTAAATCCAATTCAGGAGAAGGGTCGGAGGGTAACGATACACATCCAACAGAAAGTAGGAGAGGAAATCAAATGCCTTTTCAAAGAAAGCCAAGTCGTCAAACTGAATAACCGCCCGAGCAATTTTTTTGTAGCACCAGTGGTCATCACAGCTAAGAAACATCATTCATTGAAAAAGCTATGGCGCCAAACCCATGAACGCTCAAATCCCAAACAGTCAATTCTGACATACCGGTAGAAGTAAATTTTACCTCATTAGACCTCAATTATGCGTTTAGTCAGCTTTAACTTAGCGATTCAATCAAGCATTTAAGGTAGTTTTAACATTGTATGCGGAGACACTACGGGCACTTACCGTTTAAAACCGGATTTTTTGCGCTTTCTGACATGCCCAAAGAATTTCAGAAGATAATGGATAATACTCTTTGAAACATCCCCGGGGTCATATGCTTTTTAGATGATAAGTTAAACGTTATCAAAGGGTCACTATCTGTCCTCAATCAAATATTAGATAAAAAAGTCAAAAACATAAGCAAAAATGGTTTCGCATTAAAGCTATTCGTATGCGAAGCTTCGGTCAAAAAGATCTTTTGACTAAGCTATGACATTGACCATCTAGGTTACAGACCAAAACAATCAAAAGTCAAGCAATACTGGAACTAAGACTTCCAAGAACTGTTAAACTTACATGGATTTTCTTAACCATTTTCAACGATTTTTACCGATTTTACTATTTGATACATATCACGTCCTACCATCCTTAACATCTCTAAATCAAAAAATTGTCTGCGAAAAGAGCCAACAAGACGCTTTTGAAGCCACGGTAAAAATAGTATGGTATATCACCTTAGTGCATGTATCACTACGATGCTAAGAGAAAATCAAAAACAGAATGGGACGGTAGTCACAGCGGATTGGGAGCAGCCCTTGAGCAACAGCTTAGGGATGGCACACGGGAACCGATATCTTTTGCATATAGACTTCTAGAAAAGAAAAGAAAAAACAGTACGAATGAACTCGTACTCCTAGCATTAGTTAGGTCCTGTGAACATTTCATGAATTATCTTGTGGGTAAACATTTTGAATTACTTACCGATCACAAAGCCATAATATTGTCCCCAAAAACCAAAAGGGATAAAACAATCACATGAGTCAAGATTGACCAGGTGGGCAGATAAGCTCCTTCCTTTTAACTTCGAAATATCACATATATCATGATCTAAATTGAGAATTGTCGGCTACTTATCTCGTTATCCCACTTTTGAGGCACCCGACTCAACTAGCTTCAAGGAGCAATTCGTAGTGAAATCAATCAGAAAATTAATTTCAGCTTGAGATACATTAGAAAATTTTTGGAGGAAAGAAGTCTCCAATATTCAACCAAACACCTGCAATTAACAAATCATCACTCTAATTTGGCAAGTAATGGTTTACTTATCACCAGAGCTCTAAAATCGAAAACAAAAGTCGTTCATCCAATCAAACTCATTGAAAACTACAAGGGCATGATACGAGAATATTGAGCCGCGAAAGATCAAACAAAAACGTTTCCACCAATCAGGATCGAGCAAATCCGGCATTCATACGCATGAGGGCGAAAAAATTGGGCGAGAAAATCAACCAATCAGATTTGAGGAAACTTGGCACTATTCCGAAAGAGGGCGGGTAAAAATTAACCCAAAATTCCGCCCAATCAGAAAGCTCTCTGAAAAAATTTATGCACAGCAGATACAGGGCAACCGATTATGTACATCAGTTTCACCAAGAAGAGACATAATTATGCAAATTATTTTTAGATGCGCACAATTCCAATGAATCATATCCCAGCAACCATTTTTATGCATAAACAATGGAGGGCAAACAATTAAGCGCAACAAATGTAATTACGCAAATTGTATCCGCAATTTCTCTCAATCAATCGGAAGCCAGACCCAAACAGTCAAGTTCTCATCCAATTCACATATCAGTTCTGGCAAACCTCTGCCACCGTCAAACACTATCAAATATCAACCAATTAGATCAATCCAACTGAGTTCTAACCATTATATCCTTTTTTAGATATGTTATCTAATCAATCGAGAGAATCATGCAGAAGCGACAGTTTTGAACGTCTTCTCGATGAAATAGCGCCCATCCCAGAGGATTTATTTGCGGGAACAAGATCCATGAGCTATGAGAAGAGCAGGTTTCAGAAGGGGGAAAAGGCCCACACAAAAGAGAAGAAGATCTCAACAAAAAAATTATGTAATCCCATATCTTGGCAAATCTAGCCGAAGATGGAAATTAGGATCTCAGACACAAGGAAGAGGACAGCACAAGTGAACATAGTAACCACCAAACAACCAAAAACCAAAGAAAAAGGTAGCAGAATATAAAAAGCCGCTCCCAGGGTCAACAGGAGTTCTTGATGCGGATATCCGGTCAGAACTGGTCGATGAGGACCCAACCTATCGACTAATGAAACAGGCGGTTGTCAGTAAGGACTAGGAGAGATTCGCGAAAATTTACCCCTAGATAGTGCCATTTTGAAACTCAGCAGCGACAGCAGACGACTGCATAATCAACGACTTTTGCATCGCCATCCCGTCCTGTCTTCAAAGAGGAGTTCTGAAAAGACTACATCGATCGCACCCTGGCCAGGAAGCGACGGTGGATGCGGCGCAAAACCTCTGGTGGCCAGAGATAAACAGAGACATTGCAGAATGTAATGTGCAAGGAATGCAAGGAGTGCAAACTTACATTTTCACTCCAGAAGCATAGAAGGAGACGTATTGACCGCAGAACAAAAGATAGGAAATATATTGACCGCAGACAGAAAAGATAGGTGTCTCTGAGATCTGATCAACCCTGAAGATAGGCAAGAAAGGGGCCGAAGTTCAGGGATTTCACTAGATCAATCTCAGAGACACCGTACTACCAGACCCTAGAGAGGCTGGCAAGTCAGCCAGAGAATGGATGACTTGGAAAAGTCACTCACTCAGGAACAGGGTGCAGAAGCACTAAAGACAATGACGGAAAGGAACCAGATTTTGGCAGCATCACTCGGGAGTAATCTCACTTCAGGAATCCTAAGGTTCAGATCGGACGTCACAGGAGAGAGCAACTCAAAGGCCCAAAGCAAACAGAGTTCTTTGAAGCAAACTTCACAGAAAAGGTACGAGAGGCCTAGAGTACAGGATATCACCAAAACGTCGGAACATGATTCAACTCACTTCGCCCTCAAACAAAAGAAACTATTGGCGATAAGGTCGTTCATGCGACCAACTACATCGATACCAACCCGTCTGGGGAAAATTGCTCCCAGAACGATCGTGGGAACATCAGCTCCAGACAAACGATCAATTTCAGGGACAGAATTGAGGCGGGTCAGCACTCCAGTTGTCCATATGAAGTTGTCTTCTTTTAGCTCCGGAGAAGTGATTTCACACCCGATCGCAAATTCTTCCCCGGCCACAGCACTGTTCAGAACTACAGGATTACCACCTACATCGGCAAATCCTTCGCCAACAATAATCCAAACCGGAACTAAGGGGACAAGTGCCCCTAATCCAATCAGGCCAGCAGAAACTGGAAAATCTTCCTCCTCCCAGATCACAAAATAGACAGCTCCAGTTTCACCCGGTGCGCCGACGATTACAACCTCGAGACCAATAGCAACTGAAACACACAGGATTTGATACCGGTTTCGTCCGAAAGTGTTGACTAGATATGAAGCTCACCAATTGGAAGCCCTATCAGACATGCGGTGGAAAAAAAATTATCTGTGTCAACTTGTTTCTCCGTCTCCTAAAATTCAACCCAACGTAGAAAATATTTCGGGGAGATCTCTCATCGTCCACACCGTCTGCAAAAAAAAATCTGAGGATTTTCGAAAGATCGTTAAAAAAGGAGTAAGAAAGATATTGAAAACTGAAATCTAAACTGTGTTTTGAACTCTTGAAAACTTTCATGCCAGTGCCAACACTTTAGTTTTCCGTATCAGTGATACTCCAATTTTTAAGAGGGGGAATTGTGGTACGGCATAGAATGTCATGTCTAGGCGTGACCAATTGTTTTGTGTGCTATAATTTAGAGTGTTACTTATTGTGTCAACGTCGAGACTGGTCTCCCATAAGAACCACTCTTGATTTTTGAACCTTTTCACTCACACACTTTCTCTTTTTCTCTCTTTTTCTCTCTCTGAGTACCGGTGAAAGATTTACAGTTTTGTCAAGCTTTGTTTATATGAAACTAAATTCCATTACCAAACTCAATCACAACTGTGATATTTATTTTTATTCAATCAATTTAGCAGGTAGATACAAGCGAAAAGAAGAAAACGATTTAAAATTTGATCACGATTGAAATATGAATCAGAAACTTGAACCACCTTCAAAAGTATTTAAAAAAATGATACAAAAATTCTATCTTTGAGACACTTAAAAACTTCAGTAAACCCCTGATAGGGGTGCGACCCGTTTCGAGTTTTAATTATATTTGTCGCTTCTTGCTTTTTATATCGCATTGAATAAGGTTGTAAAGCAATGTTTACCAAGCAAACCTACTTCACGAATTTTACTTATTTTCAAAATTGTAAAATTTGACTGTTCACTATCATACCACTTTTATAGAGAAAAAATTGTTCTCCTACTATTAACTTTTTCGTTATTTTTGAGGATCTTTTGGGACCTAGAAAGATTGAATAAGACTAGTGTTAGTATCAGATTAAGAAATTGCACAAACCTGGGCCGAAAATTAAATAGCGTGACGAACAGATAATGTACCGATTCTGAAAATACTTAGCCACCCATTAGTTGGCTAGCCCATTAATCGGAACAGCTACTCTGATGAAAACACCATCAAAACACATATACTCTATTTATGAAATCAATGTTAGCATGCAATGAAATTGTTGAGTAATTGTTCATAAGCTAACTCTAAAAGCAAATGCAGATTTTTTGAAAGCGTTTCACGTCAGAATTGTTCATATTTAGGCTGTGAATTTTTTTTTACAATGATTTGGGCTCAGCATTTTCAACGTTTTCTGATTATAATTCTCAACTCGATCGGTAAACTGAAGCCGAAGAAATGTTTCCATCCATCTGCTGGAGGCCATTCGCTGCACGGCGCGGAGTCATTATAATGCATAGGGGAGTCATTTCCTAGTTCGATGTCAATACACCACTTTCCTCCGTCTGTTTTATATATCAAGGATTTACCGTTTGAAATCTTGTAAACTCCACTGTGCTTGAACTGCGGTTCCTTGTGTACTTTATACACTCCACAGACAAATGAAAAGGCACCTCCAATGTTTTCTGCCGATGCGGTTACGATAATTTCATCTTTGTATTTTGACCGGTCTAGAGATTCCCATGGTTTGGAAATGAAAGTGTCGCAATCTAAGCCATCAAGGGTCACAAATGAACCAATTGGCAAATCGTGATCATACAACACCCACTCTCCGTCTTTACTGAAGTATTCCCAACCACTCAGTGGGGGGCTGTCCGTAATCTCTGCTCTAGCGGCGGGGCTTGTGTCATCAATCTTGTTCCTCAAGACACAGCTATGAAATTCATCCTCTTCTCCTACGACAGGAGAGCAGAACCACTCGTTCTTAGCTGACCTGTACAAGAAAAACGCCAGAGAAATTGGGATTCGTACATCAATTTTTACATGTTCATTCCGGCTCCACTTCAAACTTTTTGCGTAGAATATTGGGTTTTGATCAGTTGTTCGTAAAAACTCCATGTTTTTCATGCCATCTGGAGATAGTAAAAAATATTTAAAAAGAAATATTTTTATTTCACTTTTGCACTTTTGATAGAACCCAATTTCGGAAGATTTTTGTGCAGAAACAATATATCCGTCTCCGTCTTTGTAAAACGACTCGATAACTTTGTTCTTTTCGTTTTTTCTGAAGCCCAGTATAAGCGGAGTAGCATTTTCGTAACCCTGCGGCACCAACTCAGGATCGCACTTTATTTCAGTCTTCATTAGAAGCTCTTTCTCTGCTTGCGTGTATTTTTTGCCTTCAGATATGTAGGGATACAAAGCTTTCAAAAACGTGTTCTTCATTGAACGTAGCGCTTTGTTCTTGGTGTTCTTATTTAGGCTGAAGAAAGCCACTTTAACTGTTTTGTGGAATTCGAGAAAATTTTTGCAATCGTTTTCAAGTTCGTTAGCGATTGCTTTTTGTTTGTCATCGTCAAGAACGTAGAATGGTTCGATGGTTTCGCTTTGCTCATCATACGAAAGAGTGCAAAATTTTGCTAGAACTATGATTTGAGACGCTTTCGCTGCGTGTTCTAGATTTTCGATACTATTTCCTTGGGAAATAGCGAACTCAAATGCCTGTTGAGCATCTTGTAGAGCAAACCAGAACTGCTGAACAGTCAATTTGATTTGCTTGTTTTCCAAAAAGTTGATAGCACTCAATGTCTTTTTGCCCGCGATCTGAAGAGGAGCTGAAAGGATGATTTTAACCATCTTTTTGATATCCTTGAGAGTCATCTTCATTTGACCAAGAGTTAAACCAGTTGAACTCATGGATTTTATTGAGGCCCCAATTCCTATGACGTCTAAGGCAAGCTCGATCAAAGCAGTGTAGCTCAACGTAAATGCCAAATTTTGCGCGACTCCCTCTGAAAAAAATACAACAAAATAACTACGTTCACTTATCTTATCCAGATTGTTTTTTTATTAAAACCAAAGTTTTTTGTTTTAAGTTGTTTAATTGCTCCTTTTTGGTGAAAATTTGCAGTTGAATCAATAAACTGAACATAGAGGCGTTTCAGAGTTTCTCAGAGCTTGATAGTTTCTCATCACAAAATATCATGAAAAACACAGACATTCAAACGAAAGCCTCTAAGTCTTAAAAAAAGTTGGTATAAGTACAATCAGCAAAAAAAAAGATTTGAAGAATCGATTTTTGAAATGCAAACATGGGCAAAATATGTCTGTTGATTGTCGAAAGTACAGGTTTCAAAAAATGATTTGAAAATCTGTATACAAGAGTAGTATTGTATCGTGTCCCGGATCCTAAGGGGGGGGGGGGGGGGGTCCTTCCTAAGGGGGGGTCCTCACGTAAAGCAAAATCCTAGGAAAGGGGTCCTTAATTTTTTGGAGGACCCTCATCCTAGGATTTTGTAAACGAAAGAGATTTTCCACCCAAAAAGCAGAAGACCCCCTACTTAGGATCTTTCTAAGTTTAGCTTAACAACAAGGGACACGATACAAAAATCTTTCTAATTCCAAACTTTGGGGTCCTAATTATTGGTCCTGATTAATTATATGAATCATATTAATTGTTATGTTTGCTTAGGGTAAATGAACTTTCGACCTAGTTGAAATTTGTTAGTGAACGGGGAATTGACTTTTATGGTATATAATAAAAATTCGCCGGCCATTTTGGCAGCGTAGCTTAACTGTTGGCAGCAGTAAACTAATTCCTTAACTTGACCTAAATTTTATGGTGAAAAGGCAGTAAATTGAAATTACTCTCAAAAGGCGGCGGCCGTTTCTGGGCAAAATATACCAAATGATAAATTTGACAAATTTTGAAATAAGAAAAATGAAGTTAGAGGGAACTTGGTGTACTGAAGATATTGATAATGAACATTTACAATTAAGAGTGTTTTCAACCGCAGAAAAAAACTCATTTTTCAAATTTAGTAATGAACGCTACGTCGTCTTCCTCAAAAGGGCAAAGGAAATTTCAAAGAAAGAATACGAGTTAATTTTCAAAGAACAATTTTATTTGAGTGAGCTTCAACAAATCTCTTGGTGCATTTCTACAAAACAAAAGTATGGTACTGTGAGCGATTTGAATTTTGCTGATTATGAAAACGTATTCGACTATTCGTTTGATTTTACCTCAAAAAGGGTTGATAAAGACTTGGAGAGAAAAATCCGTCTATGTTTCAACAAGCTATCAAAATACAAAAAACTTCCGGTGGTTTATTTAATTATTTACCACCGTTATCTTAATGAGACTAAATGGTATTTGCAAGGTCACTTTTATTTCCACTGGCTTGAAACTCAGCAGGTTGGAGAGGTGTTGGAAAAAATAAATAATGAAATTGCAAAAAAGCAGAGTAACTCCTATTGATTTGAAAATAAGTCACGAAATTTATACGTCTTTGAAACAAACTTATCCTGATAATTCTAACCGACGCAACTATTTTCTAGCTGCATGTTCTCTGTTTTTTGTTAGTTCTGATAACCTTAACTACGACATGTTAATTAAGTTGAGACCTTATGGTGGCTTGATTGGTATTGATAACTCTTCCTTGGACAAATACTTGAAAAATTCCAAAATTTTACGATTGCACGCTATTTTGCACGATGCGGCCGGATTTATACACGAATTTTATCAACAGGGTCCCACGTACTGTTACATGTTGCCCTGGAACTGTAACAACAGCTTATTGGGACATTTGAGTGGAATAGCGTTCTGCCTTTTCATTAAGTTGAAAAAACCAGAAGTTTATCATTTACTAGAATGCTAGGCGAGAAATCAGTTGTGCTTGACGTGGAAGGCTTTCGTTACAAGAAAAACGCCTTTGTGGTTAAAGAATTAGCAATAACAACTTCAGACTACAGCGATCGACTCATTTTCCTACCTCCAGTGAATTTCAATATACTGCCAAAGCTTGAACAAAAAGCTTACAACTGGTTAACAAATTATTTACACGGTCTCCATTGGGAAAACGGTGATTATCTTTATATAAACATGAATCAAATACTTCAGAGTTTTGTGCTGAGAAATCCCGGTGCCGTTTTTTACGCTAAAGGAAAAGAAAAGACAGAATTTTTGGCCAAGTACTTGGACCGAAAGATTGAAAACCTGGATGATTTGGGCTGTCCTCGGGTTGAAAACTTATATTTTAAAAATTATCCAAGTTGCAATAAACATATTCCACATTACAACTCCAGGAATCATTGTGCCCTGAAGAAAACCAAGGTTTTTTATGATTGGTTGAAAAATGAACAACAGCGAGAGATCAGCGAAAGTGGAGACATACCTATCACCAAATTCAATGCTTTGTGCGTGGATGACTCCAGAGGGTGATATTAAAATTTCATTAACGAGAATAGAGCGTATTGATTGTAGTGGCCAAATTGTTCAGAGGAAGGAGCAAATAATAATTTCCGAAGAAGAGTTGTCTACGTTGAAGAGGTTTTTTCCAGTTATTGATCAATTTGTATACTTCCAGAGATTCAAGTTTATCAGAAATGTTAGCCAGCAAGCGAGGAGTATATCTTCCCGAACTAGTCTTAGTACCCAAACGTCAGCCAGGAGTTCAGATGGATCTAAACAGCAGTGAATTGCCAGATGAGATTAAGACGATTGTGAAAGAGGATACTGTGAAGAAAATAATGTACTACAAAAAAACTGCAAATATCCCAGCAAACTTTGTTTTAGAAATGCATGACATAAATGATAGAGATTTCACACGTTATGAAATTTTTTACTGTTCTCAAAAGTAATTTAATTTTTTACAAGCTTCATTCACAGAGACAAAAAGTCTAACACAGTCTGTAGAATAAATAGTTTCTCAAATGTCAGAAGCAACAACAGCAGTAGATGAACCTGACGCAACATTAGTAACAGAGTTTGTTTATAACGAGACAAACAGTGAAAAAAATCATGGAAGTTTTGTAACAATGTAAATTTGCCAAGGTCTGAAGTAGTTTTTGTTGCGCAAATGGTAGTAATTCTAATTTTACTAACTTTCTGCATTCTCAAACTTTCTTTCACTAAATTAAGTTGCGAAGAAACGTCAGTTTGGTTCTCGATTTTATCAGGCTTGGTTGGTTAAGTACTACCAAACCCAAGAATATGAATAAAGTGATTGATACTTCGACAAGAATTTTTATGGCGATAGTGGGACCTTCAGGATCCGGGAAAACTGAGTTAATTTTAAAACTTCTGATGGGAAATACTTTTTACCCTAAATTTGGAACCGTTCAATATCTTTACAAAGAGATGCAACCTGCATTCTCAGAAAAAGTGTCTTCTCGCGAAGTGAATGTGGAGTTCATGAAATTCGACGGATTCGAATCTGTGAGAAAATTAGAAAATGTTCTTCTAGTTTTCGATGATTCATGTGAAGACATCTATAATGATAAGGAATTTGTTAGGTTAGCGACAGCGGGTAGACATAGAGGGATAGATGTAATATATGTTAAGCATAACTTGTTTCAACAAAGTCGATGGTCGCGTACGATTGATTTGAACACTTCACACATCATTCTGTTCAAATCGCCTCGCGACGTTCAGCAACTAGACCTACTAGGAAGACAATTGAATGTATCAAAATTTTTGAGAAACTGTTACGAATTAGCTACCAGAGACTCTTTTGGACATTTTCTAATCGACTTGGACCCCCGTACATCAGATTGTTTGAGATATTGTTCAAATATCACACCACCTGGGCCAACAGTTTTTTATTTACCCTTATCTGAAGCAGAAACTACTCCAATCACAAATCGCAAACATCGAACGATTCGAGACAGCATACAAATACTTAATAACTCCAAAAACCAGTGCTGTCAAAAAACGTGCGATTATTTTAAATAAAGAAGGCTTCCATTTAGTTCGACAAATACTTTATTTTTGTTACAAGTACCTCACAACTTAATGATGACTGCTGAAGAATTCATTCTAATTCCGAAACACTTATATGTTAAAGAGCAGCCACATGCTGCACGTGTTCTTCATGATAATAATATTAAACATAAAAATGCTCAACTGTCCTATCTTAACCGGCTTAGACCCCAATTACCTCCACAAACTAGTAAGACTACTGCAACGAAGGAAACATTTACGGATAATGTTGAGCCCCAACAAGAACAGCTTAAACTGTTAACGGACGATGAAGAAGTACCGGTCGAACGTGTTAAAGACGAAATACTAGAAGAGAAACACAATAGACAGACCGAAAGCATTTTAGGACAGTTACAAGTTTTAGAAGACAAAAAATTTGTTAGAGCAAAAACCGTACTTGAAATCATAGAAAATTCAGAAAGAGTAACCATAAACCGTGACAATGAGGTGATATATGTAGATAAAGTACCAACAGGACTTAAAGCTACAATATTTTTATACGACATACAACAACCAACGAAAAAATTACACAATCCGGCGTTCATTAACATTTTAACTGCTCTCAACTTGAATGAAAACCTGGTAATAAATCGAAATGCCAAACACGCGGTTCAGTCAGCGTCTTTTAACGCTCAAGCAAAACGAGAACCCGGACCCTCAAGAACTCGCTCAACATCGCCCACTTGGCAGGAAAAAAGTAGTGCAAACCTTAAGAGAAGTAAAAAGCACAAACGAAAAAGTCTCAGCGGTAATAGAAAAACCCGAAACCAAAAACGTGAAAAAGAGTCAGAAGAAGGCTCTGACTCATACGGAACGCCCCATAACGATTCAGATTCTCCAACGTCAGAAAAGACGAAGGCGCAAACAAAACAATGGGAAAATTACCAAGATTGAAGAAAAATTGTTGAAAACTAAATACAGTGACAAAGGTCCCGCGTTATTTGGTAGTGTGAACAACTTGATAAAAGCAAGCAATTTGTCGCGAAAGAAAGTTAAACATTTCCTTCATACTGAACCTGCTTACACGAAATA